CCAGGGGCGCCGTAGTGACCGCCGGGGCCGCTTGGCTCTTGTCTGTGACCCCGCGCGGGCAGCGCCGAGCCGGGCCCGGGGCCGCCGCCTCCGAAAGGCTGCTCACCGAAGTCGGGCCGCGGGTAGAGCCCCGGGGGCTGGAAGTCAGCGCCCTGCGCGCCGCCGCTGTAGTAGTCGGCGCCCTGCTCGCCTAGGTAGCCGCCCTGCAGATATTCCTCACACGGAGGGAACTTGGGGTCCACATACTTGGAGTTCACCATATAGGAACTCATGGCCATTAATTTCAGAAGGTAGAAAATACTAATTTTTCTCGTGTTGTCTTTTTTTCTCCTACCATAGGGCCCTCCTACTTGCTGTCAACTGAATAAAGTTGGGCGGCCATGTGACCAGGCCAGCCAATGGCGAGGGAGCGAGTTTATCACCGGGTTGGTGAGCATCTCATAATTTTCACAAATTTAACTAAATAACATACGTGTAATCAAGTGACTCGCCGTGGCACATTTGAGGACCCCCACCAGATGTTAATGTGGTTCCAATCCCCAGCACCCCTATTCCCCTCAGGTAATCCCAGCTTTTGTCTGCCACTGACTTTGCTAACCTCTGTGCCCTCTCCACTCACCCGCCTGAAAGCAGTCCCCCCAAAGTGGGCACAGTTCCAGGGAGAATGAATCCTCCTATTGGGGTGCAGGGCAAGGAAGGGTGGGTGGGTGAGGTGGCCTGTGAGTTGGGCAGTGTGCCCCAGGCAGGCAGAGATCCCGTCAGCCAGCCTGCCCGCGCAGCCCGTGGGAGCAGGGACCCTGCCATACAAAGGCTGCGTTCCGCTTTGTGTTCATCAGGGTCACCCAAAAGTTACCAGAATCAGGCCTGCCTGAATCAAATTAGGCAATGAGTAACTGCCACACTTTCTACCCGTGCCCATGCACTGGTGTTTCAAGCCAAAGCTGGGCCCTGCAGATATGGCAAGAGGTTCCTGCTGCCCTAGCCAGTGAAGCTGAGAAATGGTCAGGGAAGGTGGAGAGAATGAGGAGGGTACCCCCACCTCACCCAAATACACCCAAAGGTTCCCAGATTGCCTTCTTCCCACATGAGGGTCCTAATGACCAGCTAGCCCCCAGTTGGGTATGTTTGCACCTCATACCCTTCCTGGGCTGACCTGGGGCTGGGGCTAGCTAGCCTTCCACTTCGCTCATCAGTACCCCAAAACCTAGCCCTTTGGCTGTGCATTAATGTAACCAATTAGGGGTTCTTTTTGCACCACCAACAGGAGACTCTGTTTAAAGGTGCAGCGCTTCTTGAGGAAAAAGCTACTCCGTGTCACCAGGCACAGTCAATCTTCTAGAAGTCCAAGGTAATAGAACAGAAAGAGGCAGCTGACCCGCATAGGCTGCCTGTAGTCTCCACCTCGGTCTCTGGCTATTTCGAAGAGACATGAAGTTTTTGCATCGACCATATATTCCCCTAGAATCGAATCTGTGACTATGTGGTTACCACACAAATTCGGTTCTACAGGGTATATATAGACAACGTTACAAACTCCGGGTCCCACCCAGAGCAGATACCCAGGCTGCTGCATGCCCATCTCTTCCTCCGAGTCATCACCGACCGACGGAGCCATCACCGACCGATGCAGCCACCCGCGCTTTCAGAGACAGTTCAGGTAGCCTGACAGGCGCCAATTTGCAGCAAAAAGATCTCTCATCTTTTGCCAGGGCCGGGGTTACCGAGCAGGAGAGGAACCAGGACATTTTTCTTAAGAAAAAAATAAAAGAAAAAATAATCTATCGCAGAGATGGAGGCTTTAGTACCCCCCACCCCTTTGGATCTAAATAGCACCCCCTTTAATCAAGTGGTATTTTCCAGAAAGGAGCAAGTGCCCTCAGCGGCAAGAGAAAAGAGGCAAGAGGAAAATATTCTCTGCTCATTTCTTTTCCCACGCCTGGCCAAGTCAGGTTGGCTGCCAAAGCTAGTTCTACAAGAAATTGCGCATTTACCTTCTTGGGTCGGTAGCCCGGCTGGCCTCTCTGTCCCCCGCTGCCGCTGCAGACCCCGAGGCAGGCGCTGCTCACAGGCACTGAGCTGCCCTGGGCTGAGGCCGGCACGCTAATGGTGAAGGGCAGGGCGAGGGGTCATCCGAAATCATTTACAAACATATCACAAAGTTTCATTATTTTTGTTTTGCCGACAGCAGCACACAAGAGTACAAAAGTTCACGAATTTCACCCGCCCCAGCGCATCGACGCTGTCCAAGGGTTGCCCCTCAGTTCAGAGCGCCAAGAGTTCAGATGCACTCAGGGCTCAGACGTATTTCAGGGGCAGAGGGATGCCCTAGCTCTAGTGGGGCTTTTAGTTGCCTGACCGTAGGCCAATGGTGTTTAAAAATTATTTTGGATTGTTTTGATCCCCTCCCACCACCACCACGATAATTCAAAAATTAGTTTCAAGCTTTGGGCTGGGACTGGTAGGGTAGGGCAGGGAGGCAAAATTGGCTGCCCGCTTCTACTCTGCACTTTGCACACTCCTCCTCCCCACCAAGTCCTTTGGTTCCACCACTTAAGTTATCTTGTAGGGATTTCCTGGGTGCCAGTTCTAACCAGGGCTCTGAAGCAGATGAATCTGTTTGTCCCAGGAGAGCTCTCCCATTTCTCCTAATACCAAGTGCTCCCAGGTACCACTTTCCTAAAAACACTGGGCCTAGCCTTTATCCAAAAAAATTGGGGGAGCCTGCTAGGTTGAGTGGGGACCGAGATGAGTGTACACATTTTCATATTTGTTAGACGCTGTGACCTGCATTTCACCTTATTGCTTGACTTGTTCAGACAGGTCAAAGCCAACGAGTTATTGATGAACAAAAGCGTTAAATATTCACCTCCCGCTCAACTGCCCATACTAATGCTTTTGATCTCTTGGGCTTTTTGTGCTGTGTTCAGCTACAGGGTGCCAAATGTGGGTTTGTAAGGGAGCAGCCTCGGCAGAGATAAGCACCCATAGCTAGGGCAGAGGGAGAAGGGGAGCAAGACCAGGGGGTCCTGGAAACACCAAATTTTCCAGCCTGGAGCCCAGAGCCCTTTTCACTTGCACAGGCCTGGTTCATAGAGGGAAACTCTGTGCTGGGTGGATCTCTTCCCAGGTTGAGCATAGCCCCCAGGGGGTCTAGTAGGCTCCCTAGCACAGCCGGGCAAAGAAACCTGTTCCAGTATCAGCCACAGCTACTCTGACCATGGAGAGAGGGCACCCCACAAGAGAGGGAGGATACCTGGTTCCTGAGGCCCTCGCGTCTTCCACCTTTCATTAACATAAAATCACCTCCATTTTGCAGTGAAGAAGTGGCCACACTGCTTTTTTTCTTCACTCTTCTGTCAATACCATCATGTTAAGATGGTCCTCCTGGACACTTCTTCACAGGCCTCCTCAGGAACATACCTCTTTCACAGCACGGGCAACTCAGAAAGATCCAAACTTCTGAGCCAAAGACCTCAAGAGTCTGTGGTCCCACCCCATCCCCACTGTACCTCCCCATACCTTACCGCACCTAACCCAACCCCGCTATATTTCCTTGCAGCACCAGCGACTGTGGCGTGGAAATTCTCGAACTGCAGTTTACAGAGAAGCAGAGGTGAACAAGAAGGACCGCATCTCTCTTCGCTCAGCCAGTGTCCCAAACCCAGAGCCCACACCGCTGGAGCTGGGGACGGGGGAGGGGCGGGAGAGCGATGTCCACGTAAAGCTCAGAATTCGCAGCCCTTATGGAAGCGGGACAACTCAACACACCCGCGGCCACAGAGGGTTAAGGTTTTGTTTCTGTTTTTAATAAGAAAATAATAATAAAACTAGGAGACTGGGCCGGGCTGGACTGGGTTAAGCTGGGCTGGGCAGCGGAGGAGGATCGCGTTGCCTTGGTGTGTACTACGTTGGTTGGAGCAGAAGGCAAGTTGCTCGCCGCAGCTCGTTAATAGGGCGGGCTGCTAATTAGCTGCAAGTTCTTAACAGAAGGGAGCGCAGCGGCAGAGCTGCACCTGTGCTGGGCGGGGGAGGCCTGCGAAGGCCGGAAAGGCCCAAGGAGACAAGGGCGAGACCCCGCAGCGCGTTCCCTTAGGTAGGTGACTGTGAACTAGGCCCCAGGGAAGCTTTCC